GTCGCGAAACCAGGGCTCATTGTGTGTGCATCCGGAGCAGCTACGCGGGAAACACATGGGACAACCAACCAGTTTGGGGCCATGGTTTATTCAACGTGTATTTTCAGTGTGGTTTAACTTGCTAATCTGATCTGAAATACTTTCCTTGAATGTGCCTTAATTTCACCTCTTTTTTTCTTTCTTCTTTTCTTAGCTTACTGAAAATGTTGACGACCAAAGGCCGGATCCAGGGATGTGTGCTGCTTGTGCTACTGGCGTTATGTGGGCAAACTGCTCACTGTCAACATCGATACAAAGGTAAAGTGCAATCCCAGGGTTGTGTGCTGCTTGTGGTACTCGCTTTATGTGGGCAAACTGCTCGCTGTCAACATCGATACAAAGGTAAAGTGCAATCCCAGGGTTGTGTGCTGCTTGTGGTACTCGCTTTATGTGGACAAACTGCTTGCTGTCAACATCAATACAAAGATAACAAAAGAATAGCCTAGTGTAACGTAGTGTTTTATGGGGTTTTTTTTGTGGAATGATTCAAATGTTACCATCATTTCCCCAACCCCCGCTTTCAAAGAAGACGTTTTGCCCGAGTCTGTCACTGATGGCTGTCTCAGAAAAGAGGCAGAGGGCAAGAAATATCGCTGTGATCGACACTCCGGGGCTGTCTTCTGGAAGAAATAGATGAAATGGTGAATTTCAGTGGAGGAAACCACTACACCGACGAGATGTATAAGGCCGACCAGAAGAAACTCAAAGGAGAAAGGCTGAAGGGGAGAAAGGAGGAAGAACAAAGAAAAAGGGAAGAAGAGGAGAGGATCGAATTGAAAGAGTGGTGTAAATTCTTCGGGCTCCCTTCCTTGGGAGTATTTGGTGCAGGAGCGTACTTTACATCTTGTGTTCTCATGGGGCTCGGTGGAGCCCTTGGATATTCTCAGTTAAATTGTACACTGTCAATGTTCGCTTAGCTAAACCCACCCCGTTTCTCCTTGTTAAACTATGAAGGCTGAGTTTCATTTCACTTGTTTTCTAGGATTTCTAGTTCCAATGTAGTCTATGTACTTACTTACTTACTTACTGAATGTTTGCCTATGCTGTAGCTGTTCTATGAAGTCGCTATTAAACAACAAAAAAAATAGAAAAAGATGGACTCTGCACCCCTGCGTCGCCACGAGGAGGACCGTTCCTCGGACGGCTCAACTGACAGTTCCTCGGAAGAGGGGGAGATACTGTCCGACGCGGAGTGTGATGCGGCGGCGGCGGGCAAGCGGCAAGATGCCGAGCTTGACGGTTGGGCGTCTTCTTTACTCGTCGATACCGTGAAAACTGCGGTGTATCACCTACTCGACCTAGTGATCAACGAGTACCGCACCGAAGCGTGCAACGGGTGCAAGGCCAATCACCCCAGCCAGAGACAACACGAGTGTCTACGAGTCTTGGAGGATGACTTTTACGCTGAACATTATTACAGCATCAGGAAAAGACTCCTCACGCCTCGTTTCATTCCTTCCATTCAACGTCTCCTGATCGTCCGCAACATGGAAGCGGACGACGTCAAGGTCGGCACCGTGGCGGAGACGCTGTTGCATGAGCTGAAATCGGCGAGGAAAATCTTCGACGCCTACGACAAACTGGTGGGAGAGGATGTGATGAAAATCGGCCAGCTGCGGCTGGTCACAGTGTTACAAAGGAGATTGCTGAGATTCGTTTGTCACGAAAGGCTGATTCTTTCAATGCACGCATCCTACGGTGACATTTTTATCATGTATTCACAGCCACCGGAGGCGCTG